ACCCACACTCAGCCAGCTACAGTCCACTGACCTGCCTCCCGCAAGGTTCTTGGTCTCCTGCCTGTTCGAATCCCACCCCTTGTTCTCCCTTCTTAGCCTCACCTGCCTGCTTACTGCTTGCTCTCCTATAACGCTGCATGCCCCCACCCCGATTACAAGCTCCACCCCCCCTCCAACTAGCAGGTCTTAGCCACCGTCTCAACAACAGCAGCTGCCCCCCCGTGCTGAAGACCTGCTGCGCCAGGAGCTGCCCCGGCGTCCATTACTTCATCTCCGTCGCAACCACGTGAGACAAATTATTTCCCCATGTCACAGACAAGGCAACCAAAATTTACAGATCTGGTGTCTTATACAAGGTCGTACATTCATTTAGTCAACAAATATTTATCGAGCACCCACCATCCTGTTAGGTTTGGTGCTGAGAACCAGAGATAGAGGAAAAGAGACACACGTTAAGCAAGTACATAAATAAAATACATAATTACAAACAGTCGTAAGACCCATAGTGGAAAAGGCCGGGTGCTGAGTGCCTGCTATCAGAGAGAATAACAGGGGTCTCTAGCGAGTTGGGGAAGGAGTTAGGGACGGCCTCTCTAACGAGGTCACATTAAAGCTGAGACGTGAAGGTCGAGGGGCCTGCACTCAAGGAGACGGAGAAAGGGGGTTCCGGGCAGAGGGAGGAGCGCGCGAGAAGGCCCTACCCACATGTGGGTCAGTGAGAGCAGCCTGAGCGGCCCGAGCACAGGGTGTGAGGGACACAGGCATGTGCTGACCTCAGCAGCGCGGGAGGAGCCCAGCACACAGGGCAGGGTCTCACGGACCATGGCGAGAAGGCAGGGACTTCAATCCAAGGTCAAAGAAACTTCACAGATGGACCAGGAGAAACTGGGCATTGAGGCCTACCAATGTCCCTAGAACCGAGGGAGTTGGCTGTAATAAACAGAGTCCTCAGATTAGAATGGACACACCAGCATTTATGTATCCACCATGTGCCAGGCATCCTGTGAGGTGCTTCCCAAACCCTCAGGACCACTCTGACTCAAAGACAGGACTGGCTCCACTTTACAGATGGGCTTCTGGAAGCGACTTAATCAAGCTCATAGGTCAGTTAGTGGCAGAGCAAGACCTAAAGCCCCATTCCGGTCATTCTGCAGTCCACGTCGTATCCGTATACCACGGTGTTTGCAAAGGTTCCCAGGCAGCACCAATGGGGCAGGGGTGGAGGATGAGGGGAGCTCTTCTCTGGTAATAAGTAACTCACCACAGAGAGGTCACAGAACAAATCTAGCGATGCAGACCTCCTAGATAAAACACTAAATTTGACCAACTGCCTCAGATGAGACCAGGAACTGCCAACAAAAAGGACTAAGGGCCCGGATACGAGAATCAATTGACTCTAGCGTCCACAGCAGGTCTCACCACGACAGCACAACCCTTTACGAAATGCTGCCTCTGCCAGACCTCCTCAGGTCCGGGAGCCCCCACTACACCATCAGCTAGAAAGGACGAGTAAGACAGGCTCCTACTGAAGGCCAAATTGATTGGCCAGCCTCCTCCCCTCAGGCCTGCCCTACTGGTGATTCTCGCCTCAGCTAATGAGGCTATGAGACAACAGATCACCAGTCTAAAGACCCAAAAGAAGGCAAGTGGCTTTCACATGCTGAAGCGAGGACCTGCACAGGACAGCGGAGGGTGGCAGGCAAGACTGCCCACGCAGAAGACCTGCCTCCCAGCCTGCGTAAGTCCGCACCCTCCCTGGGCTTCAGAGCACCCATGTGTCCAACAAAGGGACGGGATGAGCTCCCCCAGATCTGGGACCCTGCCCACCTTCTGAGCCTCTCCTGACCACATCCCAGTGCTCCAGCATCACCCCATGCAGCAGCCCTTCACCCACAGCCTGCCACCAGGCTCGCTGCTCACTCCTCGCAGCACCAACCCTGGGGTCTTTTAAAAGCATGATTCTGGTCATTTCCCTCCCAGATTAACATCCACCACCAGCTACCCTTCATCTTCAAGACAAAGGTCAACCAAAGCAGTATAACACACAAGACCCCCGACCCCTGCCTTCTTTGGTGGCCTCACTCGTCTCAGGACCCCTGACATGGCCTCCTTCCAGCCAAAAGGAGCTTACAATCCCCTAAATTCCTTGCGCCCAGCATTCCTCTTGCTGCCCTTGCCCACATTGAGTCCCTGTGCCTGGGATGCTCTCTTGGTCCCCTCACCTTGGCTAATCCCTACTTGTCCCTGATGACCCAACTGGAGGAATGCTTCCTCCAGGGAGGCTTCCCTGAATCCCCCAAGCCAGGTTCAGAGCCCTCCTCTGTGCCCCACAGCACTCTGTACTTACCTCTGTCACTGCACTATTTCCCTATCCATCTCCCCAACCAGCCTGGGGGGCCCCTGACAGGGACACTTACCTGGTCTTAATCTACCGCAGACTCTCTAGTCCCAGGCACACAGCCTGGCACAGGGCATATATTCGAAAATATTTGTCGATGAATGGATGAACTCTGAACAAAACCAGAAGGAGGCTGTTGTCTTGCTAGATGTTAGCTAATAGACCCTGATGTTCAGATTCCCAGCATCTGAGACTAGCATAAGAGGAATCATGAATAGGGACGCCTGGGTGGCTCAGTCATGAAGCATCTGCCTTCGGCTCAGGTCATGAACCCAGGGTCCTGGGATCGAGACCCACATCAGGCTCCCTCCGTCTCCCACTCCCCTTGCTTGTGTTCCTGCTCTCGCTATGTCTCTCTCTGTCAAATAAATAAATAAAATATTTTTAAAAAAAACAGGAATCATGAGTTTCCCCTTTAAATCAAAAGTATTCCAGCCCCTCTTTAATATGCATGCTGACTTTAAAATTAGCATTCAATGCCAAGAGCATTTCTTATAAGCATCCCACAGAAATTTCAGACCACCTCTATATAGAGATCATGCACTTAGTAGCTCAGGCCAAATGGAACATTTCAGTGACTCATAAAGACTTGAAAGGGAGACACTGAGAACACTTGGTCATTTCAATTTCAACAGCAGAATTTGCTCTGGAAAATGCTACAGTAAAAAATATTAATGCCATAAAAACCAAACAGCAGCTGAAGGACTACAGTCATAAAGAAAAAACATAAATCCTAAAACATATCAGCGTAGAAAGAAGGCTCCCTCTCGTCTTCAAGAAACACAGTGTTTAGGTCCTTGGAAACCCATCTAGAAAAGGGAGACTTGACTCCCATGGCAGAGTAGAGAAAAAGAAGAGCAGACGTCACAACAGTGAGGAGGAGAAAGAGCTAAGCCACAGAATGAACCCGGTGGTCAGCCTACCCAGACTGCCCATGCACGTGCCCATGCAGGGCCCACCACAGCCCAGAGAAGAAGAAACTGTGATCGCGCAGATCACAGAGGACAGAGAGACCAAGGGAGTGGCCCAAGGTCCCCCAGCAGAAGTGAGCCCGCAGACAGCTGGCCCCAGAGGCCATGGTCCCCAGACAGCAGAGACCGCCTCCCAGAGCAGCCCCACCTGCCACATGCTGGGCCTCAGTGTCTACGACCTACATATAAGGAGGGTTGGATTCACTTCTCAGATACTTCCCAGGTCAAACGGCAGGCGATAAAGTGCGAAACCAACACTCTAAGATTCTGTTAAGTTTTTCCATCTAGAAATAAAATTCAAAATGGTGCCCTTCAAAAAGTAAATAACTCCATATCTTGCAGAGCTGCTTTTATATTAAAGGAATGCACATGAAGAGCTGAACATTTAAAGTGCCCAGCTCAGAGCAGGAGCTCAATAAACAGTAGCTATTATTACTCTTATGATAAAACAGAAACAGCCATTTAATAGCAGAGCACGTTTTAATTATACACGATGTGGAATAATCAAATCTCATTTGTTTGAGGCCCCAGACCCCACAGCATAGATCGAGTTGTACAGTTGAAATTAGAACAACTCAAAGCTCAGAAATTACTTGTTTCCATTAGAGATCTGACAAGTCATTTCTTCAATTGGTCACTGGTGGTTTGCAGATAACTATTAGCAGTAATGAGTATTCTAAATTAAATCTGGAGACAGTACCACTCTGTTTTGTAAAGACAACCGGGGAGAGAGAAACATAATTGTGAACGTCCTTCTCTCTGTCCTCCATCTTCTCCCTGATAAATATCTCCAGTGTCTTGCATAGTATGGATTTCATTTGGCTACAAATGAAGAAGGGTCTAATTCTTCCCATGATAAATGAGAGCGCTGAACAGGTAACTTGTTAAGGAGAACTGGAATTGGGAAAATAACCTCATTTTCCTGTTCCCTCCACTAACAAATGAAAGACACAATGCTGGAAGACACTAAGCATGGAAGCCAAATCCATCACCATGTAACCCGTCCTCAGACACTCTGTACACAGCCCTGGGTACAGGCTGCTCATGTCTCCTTCAACAGCAACAAAGATGAAGCCTACAAAAGGCAAGGTGGTGGCGCAAGGCAGTGGGAAGAATAATGGTTCTGGAATCCTTAAAAACCTGGATTCCAATCCTGGCTCCGCCACCCGAGTATTATGTGACTGTAAACGAGTCTCTCCTAGGCTTATGATTTCTTATCTGTAAAATGGGGATAATATAAAATATCTCAAAGAGTTCTGGCAAGGATTAAATGGGGACCATTAGTAATATTCCTTACGTTACAGGGAAGCCTTCGGCAAATGTTAGCTCCTCTCACTGGGCGGTCTGGGAACATCCCCATGTTTGGGACACCAGAAGGACACCAAACTCCCCAAAGCTGGAAACTGCTGATCCTGGCGGAACCCGTGTCTGGCCCGTGTACAAACCGGCTGACTGCATAGGTACGGAACACCCACAAGACACATCACTGCCCCCAACTCTGGCATTATCCAGCTTCGACACTTCTCGAGAAATATGGCTTCCGGCCCCGCCCCCCACCCCGCCCCGGGCCTGGCTGGACAGCGGCCGCAGACGTGATTTGTTAGGGAAGATGATTTGGTATCTCCACTTACATTTTCAAAGTCCTTCATGTTCCGTGCTCTGGTGGGAGACACCGTTTCTTCTGACACGTTGGGGAGCACTATAAAAAGGTAAAGCAGACAGAGGAAAAGGGCATGGTATGCAAACTGCCCAGCATCCCTATTAGGGGATAGAGCCCAGAAAAGAAGAAAATTTAAAAAAAAAAAAAAAAAAAAAACCACGTGAACAGCTTCCACAGTATATTCTGCTGGCACTTTCTGTCTGTTGTGATTTACTGACTTGAGTCTAGGGAAAGCTCTAAACCATTATATTTCAAATATTTACAAATTACTTAAAGTAGCCCCAGTGTAACGTGTCAGAGAACGAACCCAAAAACTGCACCGGGCATGCGGCCCAGCTGAACTTTGCTGATATGTACTTCCTTAGTGCTGGTCCTGAAGTTCTTCTGCTGAGCAGAACACCATCTTCATGTATCCGCGATTAAAGCAGATCTAACTGACTGGGGTTGGCAAACTCTTTCTTAAAATGCCAGACAATAAATATTTTAGGCTCTGTAGGCCATAAACAAAGCCTAAAATCTGTCACAACTGGTCAGCTCTTCTGTTGTAGCACAAAAAACAGCCACAGACAATTCATAAGTAAGGAAGCTGTGTTCCCATAAAAGTTTATTTTCAAATGCAGGCAGCAGGTTGGAAAAGTGCCCATCCCTGCTTTAGGGTGATTATAGACTTGGCCAATGCCCAAAGCTTTCCACAGTTCTTTTCTTCCAACAAACATCTATTACACACCTACTGTGTGCCAAGCACCATGCTAGGTGCTGGGGAAAGAACAGTGAAGGAGACAGTGAGCCTGTACCCAAAAGGCTCTTATCTAGGGGGCGAGACAAGAGGGTAAACAAACTGGCACCTTGTTCACAAAGTGCCTGGCGCTGTTTAGGTGTTGGGTGCATGTGCACGGAGTAATGAATGAATCCATTCTTCCAACAAATATGCACTGAGGGCCTACTCTCTGGCCGGCACCATTCTAGATGAGGCTACATCAGGAAACAAACAGAGTTGATCTTCTAGAGAGAGAAGATGGAAATGAGCAAAATAACAGGACAATTATATAGGATGTGAGAAGGTGAGAAAGGCTATGGAGAACACTTAAGCGGCTAAGGACTGGAAAGATCCAACGTGGGTGAAGATTGCAATTTTAAGTCAGGGGGCCAAATTGGGAAGGCCGCACTGAGAAGGTGTCAGCTGGGCAGACCTGAGGAGAAAAGCAAATTGAGAAGCCCCATGCACGTGAGAACCAGCAATAAACAAAGGGGACCGCAGGAGAGGAGGTACGTGAGGTGCTGGGGAACAGACTGCGCATGGCCTTATAGGCTCTTCTCGGGACGGGGAGCCGCCAGAGGGCTCAGAGCCAAGGGGTAACATGCCTGGACTTAGGTTTCTACAGGCTCCCTCTGGCTGCCTTGCTGAGAACAGACTGAAGGGCACTTAAAGGGAAACCAGGGGACCAGTCAGAATAGACTGGAGACCAAGGTGGCTTAGAGCAGGTGGCAGGATGATAAGCAGGGAGGAGTGATCTGATCCTGGATGTTTTAAAGTCACCAAAAGGAATAAATGAACTGAAATAGGTGAAATATGTAAGCTCGGAGAGGAAAGCACAAGAAGTGAGCCTGGGAAGAGCCAAGACGGTGGTGAGCTTTGAGCTGAGTCTTAAAGAGGCAGCAGAACAGAGGAAGGGAAAAGGAAGAAGAAACTTCACAAGCAAAGGCCCAGAGGTAGGCGTGGCCTTCAGAAACCACTGAGCACAAAAGAGGCTCAGGAGGTGGGGAGGGGCAGACTGTCAAGAGCCCTGGGTACCAGGCAAAGGGCACACAGGCTTGTTTTCCTGGTTCTCAGACAGGCCATGCTCTGTCACCTACGCCTGCGTCCCTACCTAGGTCCTACTCATTCCTCAAGTCTCAGCTCCAATATCAGTGTTTTAAGAAACTCGTGCCTGACCCAGCTCCCCCACACCGGGGCACACCTCCCCCTGCCCCCCTCACCGCCTGGCCCAGCTCCCTCTCACCCCCACTCACAGCACCTTTTTTCTTTGCTCATCACATCAATCATATGATTTATCATGACATTTCTTTGTTGAACTCTCTATCTTCCAGACTGGGTCGTAACCAAGTTCAAGGTTGAATCCCAGCACTTAGCCCAGGGCTTGGCACAAAGCAACGTACACTATGGGCTGAAGCAAAGAGCAGTCCTATCAATTTTCCACTTCTAACTGCCTGTGTACAGGAAGACCAAAAACTGCTGGATTTTGTGTTTAAGGTAGAAGTTAACAGGTTCTGAAGGAAAACCTGAAGGTGGCCTATAAGTTAAAATATTCTCCAGAAATAAACCTCATGACACCGATATCGTCTGTTCTAAAAACTTCTTCCTTCTGCACGTCTCATCACTTTGGAGAAGAGGGAAAAAAAAACACAAGTCAAAATATCTCTGAGATATTTTAACAAGGCAAATTATTAGCACTTCCTACACTACAGACACTTATGAGAGCATTCACTTCTTTCAGAAACAAAAATTATGAAGAATGCTTAGCAAAAGCCAAACTGCCCCACAGAAAGTCTCCTCCTAATCCAGCTTAAACACAATAGACTGCTTATTTACTCAGCGCCGTCTCCTGTGGTCTAACCAACTATTTGTCTCCAAAGGGCAGGCCCGTGTAGGAATGCTGGGCCTCGACCAACAAATGGAACGCAGCAGCCTGCCAGGAAGGCCTCGGCACACGGACGCTCAGCAGCACATGGGGCCCCCAGCCGCTTGGCGGCTGAGACCCGCAGATCCTCCAGGCCTGACCCACTCACTTCAGCCCAGCCCCCATGCAGCCACCCAGGGCAGCGAACGCTGGCTGAATCTCTCCGAGCCTGGTAGCAAGAAATAAAGCTCATGGAATATGGCCTAAAGGACATCAATTCCTCCACGCCAGTGTTTATGAAAGGAGGTAAACAGCAATTCAATAGGTACATAAAACACTGAGCACCTACGGAGAGCACCTGGCCATGCCAGGGTAGGCTCTGGGCCCCAGGGACTTCAAAGCCCAGTCCTGGGCTCAAGGCCTAAAGGCCCCCACGATCAAGAGAATGCCCGGCTCTGTATACTTACCACCATTTCCCAAAGCAGCAACGGGGCTGATGCCATCCACTTCGTCTGGTAAATTGGGAACAAGGCCACTAGGAGAGAGCATAGGCAGGAAGATATGAGTTAGTGTTTGAACAACAGAGACCGTGAGGACTGCCTGGACTGCACTTGACAATCATCAGGCCACAGGCAACGAGCAACACACAGCTGAGCTACCTGGGAGACATACAGCACAAGGGTGAAGAACTCAGGCTTTGGGGCTCTAATACTTAATAGCTGAGTGACCTTCAGTAAGGATGGTCATTCGTTCATTCATTCAGACATCAAGTGTTCTGTGGACCGTATATATGCTAGGTGCAGAGGCACCATAAGCTAATGATATTTCTGAGTCTCGCTTTACCTGTTACATGGGGATACCACCCTCTCCCTGTAAAGATTAAATGAGTTAATGTTTATGACACTTAGCATGTAGTAAGCACTCAATAAGTGGTTATCTACTGTTTCTGTCTTTACTATTATTGTCATTATTAATACGCCTACCACAACCAAAAATTAAGCTTCCAAGAACGTGGCACCAATTCGGATGCTTTAAAAATGTCACACAAAAATACAAAATCCACTGATCCAAGAAATTTTACTGGTTGAATTATAAAAATAGGTTACATGAGGATCTGGAGACACTGAGAAAAAACTAAACGTAACAGGAGGTATGGCTTGACACAAAAGCCAGTACACTGGATTCTGTTCTAAGCTCTGCCGTATACCTCTCCCAGCCCCACCTCCTCCATCCGTAAAAGGCAAACAGCAGCCACTTCGTAAGTCACTGGCAATCAAAGACACAAAGTGCCCAGCAAGGCACCTGGCACACTGTGGGCACTCCATAAATGGGAGCAAAATATTACTGTCACTGGGAAACATCCAGCGCTTTGTAAATTTATAAAAGATTCTCCATCGTGAGAGCTGCCTGTGCCCCGAGAGCCCTTGCATTTTCAAAGGGAGGCACTAGGGTGCTGATAATTTCAGTAGCCTGGCCAGAGTCACACGGCAGTTAAGTGGACAACCAAGTCCAGAACCCAAGCCTTTTCTGTCTAACCTCCAATAATGCTTTCCTGTCCCAAGCTATAAACGAAGAGCTGATGGACGCTCAGCTTGACTTCCCGGCAGTTTGCTCTCTCCATGTTTCTAAATCCAAATCCATCCTGTACTGATCTGCCTGATCACCATTCTGGAGTTGGGAATGGACCTTCATGATCAGAACTAAGCAAAAAATTGGGTATCATAAGATTCTAACATCAAGAGAATGATGACATAATACGTCTGCTATAAAGATAAGTGAAAAAAAACTTCAGTAGACTATGCCTTCAACTATGAAAAAGAAATACATGTACACTAAACTAGGTGGGCTATGCATCCATAAGAAGACAAAGGAAATATTAAAAAATCATCATTTGTAGGAAAATGAGAGCTATTTTCCTGTTTTTTAATTTTCTATACTTCATTTTCTCCAGTAACCATCACTAGAAGAACAAACTCCATTCTCTAAATTGAATATTAAAAATTAAAATCAAGTGGGCGCCTGGGTGGCTCAGTCGTTAAGCAACTGCCTTCGGCTCAGGTCATGGTCCCAGGGTCCTGGGATCGAGTCCCACGTCAGGCTCTCTGCTCCGCGGGAAGCCTGCTTCTCCCTCTCCCACTCCCCCTTATGAGAGCTTGTGTTCCCTCTCTCGCTGTGTCTCTCTCTGTCAAATAAATAAATAAAATCTTTAAAAAAAAAATTAAAATCAAGTTCAACCAGCACCTTTTGCAGATGGTGGCCCAGAGGCCCAAAGTCCCACACCAGCTTACTGGTCAAGCTTAGCCAACAGTCTGGTCTGTACCTTCCCGATCTGGGGTTCTCTCCACCATAGCCACTAACTACCATTAGCGGAGATGGACCATCAATGACTCAAGCCAACATCAACCACAGTGGAAAACTACATGGCAGGCTAAGCCAAAGAATTTGGTCTTAGACAAGTTTCTAAGAGGCAAACAATGAAGTCGGAAAAATGACATTTGACATCCCATTTACGAAAAGAAACCACTATTTAATGCAGAAGTTCCTGCCTGGTTCCTGCCAAATTTCCACTTGGGCTTTACCTACCCACTTTTATAATGCTATGAATCTCTGTCATCTGCAATCTCCTGTGGGTTCCGGCCACCCTCCAGCTTTAAGGAGCTCCCTCGTCCTACTCGGATCATTCGCTCTTAGCCTTGGGACTGAGGCTGGGGTTTCAAGGAGCCCCACGAGAAATCAGAACTATGCAAGCAAAAGCAGAGGGCTTGGGTACAATTTTATCAATGGGGGAGACGAAGGCCCCAAAGGGAAGGAACCTCTTGGCTCAAAATCACAAGGGGTTCTCAGCCACACAGAGACCGAAATCCAGGTTTCTCAGGGGCCGTTGCACTCACTAACTGTGCCCGGGCCACCCAAAGCTCCTAGACAAACGTGGCACCTAATCAGCACTGGTTTCCCCACAAGCCAAATACAGCATAATCCCAACAAGCTACCATGTGGGGTGACCACGGGGAACAGGCACCAGGCTCAGGGCAGGCAGCCTCCCGCTGTAGCCTCACCACGGCCCTTCTGTGGTGGGTGGTGGTTTTTAAATGTTGCCTTTTTTTTTTTTTTTTTAAACAAGGAAAACAGAAACTCAGAAAAGTTAGAAAGCTGGAAGACCAGAGCTGGCCTGATGTCAAACCCCATTGCTCTTAATCTCTACACTCCCACCCCCACCCTGGTGCCCCCTCACCTTCCTCCGGAGGAATGTGGAAAGGTCCAAATGAACCAGAGCAGAGGATTTCCAGCGATCGGCACAGAGCACCCTCACCGAGGCTGCTTTTTGTCAACTATGCGTTGAGCAAATGAAGCGATGCTCGCCTGCACTTCACCACTTCACCCTCGTCTGGCTCTACCACCACCCAAAAGGCACAATCACTTTTTGTGCTGTGCGTGGCGGCAGCCACTGTCCATTCACACCACAAGCCCCAGGAAGGCCTAGAGGACTAAGCGCTTCATTGGTAAAGTGTTGGGAGAGCCGTGGGTGGAACTGGGCACCACATTCAGAAAACAAGTATACCAAGTGCATTTCTGTCTGTCTTTTAACAACTCATTTTTCATTCTATGTTATTTATTCTTAATTAGTAAAGAAATATATAAATACAAAAAACACAGACAAAATAAGGCATACAGATGGGCAACAGACACACGGAAAGATGCTCAACATCACTCATCAACAGGGAAATGCAAATCAAAACCACAATGAGATATCACCTCACACCTGTCAAAATGGCTAGACTCACAAAGATAAGAAACAACAAGTGCTGGTGAGGATGTGGCGAAAAAGGAACCCTCTTGCACTGTTGATGGGAAGGCAGACTGGTGCAGCCACTGTAGAAAACAGTATGGAGTTTCCTCAAAAAATTAAAACTAGAATTACCAGATAATCCAGTAATTCCACTACTAGGCATTTAACAAAAGAAAATGAAAACACTAATTTGAAAAGATATGCACCCCTGTGTCATCACAGGATTATTTACAATAGCCAAGATAAAGAAACAACCTAAAGGTCCATCGACAGACAAATGGATAAAGATGTGGCATATACATACAATGGAATATTACTCAGCCATGTAAAAGAATGAGATCTTGCCATTTGTAACAACATGGATGGACCTAGAGGGTATTATGTTAGGGGAAATAAGTCAAAGAAAGACAAATACCATATGATTTCACTTACAGAGAAAATCTAAAAAAACAAAAAAGCAGAAACAGACTCATAAACACAGAAACCAAACTGGTGGTTGCTAGAAGAGAAGGGGCAAATGGGTGAAGGGAGTGGGAGGAAAAAAAAAATACAGACAAGCCTAAAGTTCTTGACGACTCCTCACTCCCATAGTAGCCTCCTAAGAGGTAGCCACTGTTGTCAGCAAGACATGTATCCTTCTAGGCTTTTTTCTATGTATTTACAGATATAGGGACACAGTCTTATTTTGTGGCTTAAAAACAAAACAAATGCATTCAAACTGTATATATTACTCTGCAACATCTTTTCTTTACTTAATGTGCCCCAAAGATGTTTTCATGACAGTACAAATAGATCTACCTTCTTGTTTTTAACTCTCACAAAGCATTCTACAGCAGTGGTTTTCAAACTTGACTGACCACAACCCAGAGAAGGAAATGTATCAGCCTTAATTCTTGAAACGCTTTGTATTCCCTACCATTACATTTTTTTAAAATTCTGGTTGCAACCTACGAACCTACTGAATTTCACAAGCTGCCAATGGGTCACTGTCTGAAATTCACTTTTGGGGGGGGGTGAAAGGATGTGTGTTTACCCGATCCCCTGATGGTAGTTCAATTTGTTTCCAAGTTGTTCCTTTTACAAACAATGCTTTATGAATATCCTCATACAGGTCTCCTGTGCACGTGCATGAGAATTTCTCTAAGAAAACAGGAAGTGGAATTGCTGGCTCAAAACATATTCACATATTTTTTTGGGCAAAGGATTTGAAAATACAGTGTACCCTTGAGCGACATAAGTGGAACTGCACGGGTCCACTTACATGCAGATGTTTTTCTCAATAAATACCATACAGTACCGTAAATGTATCTCCTCTTCCTACTGATTTTCTTAATAACATTTTCTCTTCTCTAGCTTCCTTTACTATAAGAATACAGTATATAATACATATAAGACACAAAATATGTGTTAATCCACTATTTATGAATCAGGCTCTCAGTTAACGATAGGCTAGTGGTTAAGTTTGGCGGCGAGGGGGGGGGAGTCAAAAGCCACACGTGGATTTTCCAGGGCGCGGGACATCACACCCCTAACCCTGTGTTGTTCAAGGGTCAACTGTACACAAACGGCTATAGAAACACAAGAAATAATGTTCAACATCATTAGTCATTAGGGAAATACAAACCAATACCAGAAGGAGATACCATGTCATACCCCCGAGGCTGGCCACAATCAAAATGACAGACAACAACAAGAGTTGACGAGGCTGTGAAGATATAAGAACCCTCATCCACTGCTAGAAGGAGTGT